CCCACGCGTTCATGGTTTTCTCGTTCAAGTGCCCTCCATCAATCTCCCCAGCTTCTCCCTAGGCCCCCCCTCGGTTGTCACCCTCTTTTGAGGCGCCTCAAAAATCTCACCAACGCTTACATGTTTCTCATGTTTCCAGTCAGTGTAGGACCAGCGGCATCTTCACGACCGGCAGTCTTTTCTACAGTGTTCTTTCTACAGTGTGAAAGCAACTCCCAGGCAGTCCCCTGCTCCCTGTTCCTGCTTCGTGCCGCCATCCCCCTGCCCTCACACCCCTGCCCCTCGCAGGTTCCGGTCAGTGCGGGACCAGCAGTCCGTGTTCTACGGAGTGAAGGCAGCGCGCAACCAGAACATCAGACAGCGAGCCAAGGTGCCACGGGGGGGGTGGGTAGTTGTGTGTGTGAGGGTGGCGGGTAGTCGCGTGTGTGATCGGGGTAGGGTAGACAAGTTTGAGGAGGGTAGATTTAGGTGCAATTGGGTCTGCGGCCCGCTGTTACGGCAGCTTGCTCCAGCAGCTCACTACAATTCATTGTTACAAGCCCGTGTTACAACCGCTTTGTTACAACCCCTTCTTACAACTGCATTGCTACAACCCTTTGCTCCAAACCCACCACGGTGGTGCTCCACCTGCTGCTGCCCTCTCACAGGTGTCAGCACCACCGGGTTTCAGTGAACATCACACGGGCTATGCGCTCGACATTGGGGATGCCAACTCGCCTGCCACACATCTTGAGTTCGGTAAGATATGGAGAATGATGGCTGGGAGGGTGCGTAACGGTCAACATGGTCTGTGATGGTGCAAGGTGGTCTTTGAAGGTAACACGTGGTTCGTGATGTTGCACATTAGGACTGAAGTTGGTTGATATTGTGTCTGTTTTTTTGCCGTTGTGTGCAGATTTTGAAAACACGGAAGCTTTTTATTGGCTTCAGAAGAATGCCAACAGGTGAGTTGTGTTGCGCGCATGCTGCCTTGGATTGTAAAGTCAATCAGACCCCTTGAAAACACAAGTTTCACTTTGTGCAGGTTTCATTTTGAGCTGTCTTTTCCACCGGATAACACAAGGGGAATCATGTATGAGCCATGGCACTGGCGATTTGTTGGAGATGATCACAGCACTTTCACCTTCTATGGCCAAAGAGTCAATTCTGCGGATCCCTAGACAGTGTGCTGTGTAAAATTGTAAAGCTGATTGCTAATGAGGGCATTGAAACTTGAATTGAAGCCACCTGTTTCAGGTACACATTTCCTTCAGACAACATTGGTTGTGGGGGTTGAGGGGATGTACGCCTACGGTTCAGTCTCACTGAAATCTGGAGGTCCCAGTCTTTGTCTGAAAGGGTGTGTGTGGAGCATTCTATTCGTCAGTTTCTCCTGAAACCTCGGGCCACCGTCGCGCAGGAGCGTTCGATTGCCAAACAATGTTGACATGTTAATCCAACGGCTGAGAGAACTTGTTTGCGAATCGCGAATTCATCTATCATGTGGTCTCCAGCAGAATCAGTCAGCCAGCTCTCTGAGTGGATGATGAGCCTTGAGAAGCCTCCAGGTGTCAATTCTAACGAATCAGCTGCATGCATTTGGATACCCCTGTCTGGAACCTCGGGTCCAAGTGGAATTTCAACCAGTTATATGCTGACAGCTAGGCATGCTGGCTGGTTAAAAGATTAGTTCAATTATATACTTTCTGCCCGGAAGTCTCACAATTTGACTCATTCGTGAGATTCTGTAATGTACACTTTTGACGAACAATAAGACATTACACCGTAATATCAGACATCTTCATTTTAATTCTGCCCGTTGATCTCTTTCAAACTTGACCAGCTTGTTTTATGGCGCTGCCCTTGCGACTCAAATCCCGCCACGTGTATTTTCACACTCACACAGTTCTCCGGTCGCGTCGTCGACCAGACTCGGTTTTCCCCGGTGGCGGGCGAACGCCATTTGCCGGCCGCCAATCACCTCCAAGCTTCTGGAAGGTTGAATCTTTACCAGGCGCGCGCGCGCGCGCGCGAAGCAAACCTTCTCTTGGCCCCCTCGTCCACTCCACTGCCCCTCCGCTTCCCATTCACCCTCCCTCCCCTCCTCCTCCCCCTCGTCGTCCTCCTGGTCGAGCGGTTCGAGTATTTATTGAAGGCAGCCAGTCGGACGAAACACTTGTCTTCCATAGGCTACAAGCTCAACTTCTCCATCCTATTTTCATTCATTCTCAGGAGCAGCCCAAGAAAGCCACTAGAGAGCGCCGCAGTAGCTTCGCCTTCGGAATTAAGGACCAATACTCTTTAACGCTAGTCGAAGCCACGCTCTCTAGAATGGCCTCCCTGATCTGCTTCCCGTTCAAGGAGGAGGACGTCACCGTCGCGGTTCGGAACGTCGAAATCGCAGCGTCGCACCCTTCAGTCTCCGCCGTTCTCGGCGTGGGATACTCCAAGGGCGAGACATGGCACGCCATCGAAACCGCCGCGCCAGGCATCGAGAAGCGCACGGGCAAGCGCGTCATCCTGCGCCTGCAGCGGCGGATAGGCATGAATCTGCGCGGCGGCAAGGGCGACGGCATGAACACGGCGCTCCAATTCTTCGTCGAGCACCGCGAGTTCGAGCGGCTTCATTTCTACGACGCAGATATCACCTCCTTTTCCGGCGAATGGATTTCCAAAGCCGAGAAGCAAGCGGATCTTAACTTCGACATCGTGCGGCACTATTTCCCGCGCTCGTCCACCGACGCCATGATCACGTGGCTCGTCACGAAGATCGGATTCGCGCTGCTTTGGCCCAACTCGGTGCTTCCGCACATCGAGCAGCCGCTTGGCGGGGAGCTGCTGCTGACGCGGCGCGCGGCGGAGGCGCTGGTGGCGGACCACCGCGTGCGCACGCAGAGCGACTGGGGCATCGACACGCTGTACACGTTCGTGACGGCGCAGGCGGGGCTGCGCTTGGCGGAGGTGTACGTGCCCGAGGGCAAAATGCACGCGCTCTACGGCGGCCTGCGCGACCTGCGCACCATGCTCATCGAGTGCTTCTCCGCTGTGCAGGTGGGCTTTTGAAACCGCGTCAATTGGTTAATTTCGACCTACCTTCAAGTTCTCTTTATCCAGTTGCGTTGGTTCGCTCTTGTGCTAGAGCTGCGAGCCTTGGCGCGCTGCTCTTGCCACCCCTAAATTCTGCTATCAGTATCGTGACCCGGGACTGCCGTTTTTCTTATCTGTTTCCTTTCCTCGCGTACCTCTCTTCTCTTCCCTGGCAGTCACTGAAATCCGAGAGCCTCAACGACGAGGGCAATCCGGTGATTCATCGGGTGGAGTTTGCGCGGCCCGTGCCGGAGGCGGTGCGGAGCAAGGTGGGGTACGACGTGGAGAAGACCCTCAAGCTGCTCAAGGAGCCGCTCACGCCGCGCATGAAGGACCTCCTGCACCAGTACTTCGACCCCGCGCTCGCCAAGGTAGGATATTGATTTTTATTACTTTCTTATGATTCCTATTATGTTGCTTATCTTTATTATCTTGATTATCCCTGTTGGTTTGGTCACCCGTCTGCGTGTTCACGCAATTCCTTTTTTAGCAACTTTTGTTTTCTAATTCGTCCTATTCCTGTACCGCGTGGTCCCGCTCGCAGGGGTTGATAATGGCGACGGAGTGGCCGACGTGGTCGTTCTGCGACGAGGAGGCGTGGGTGGCGGCGTACATCCGCTTCCTCGACCACTTTGAGAAGGGCGACGCCGACTGGGAGGAGCTGCTCTTCCGCGTCTGGGTCGCGCGCGTCCTCAACCACACCATCCGGAACGTGATGCGCGGGTACGACGTGGCGCTGGGTGCGCTGCGCGAGCTGGTGACGGAGACGCAACAGCGGTCGGCAGGACAGCTGCGCGCGGAGGCGAGCAACCCCATGACGCTGGCGTCGGGGCACACGGCGCTGGAGGCCAAGCAGGACGCCGACGCGTCGTGGACGCTCATGCAGACCGACTCGGACGCCGTCACCGCCGTCAACGTGCCCATTGTGTAACCACCCTTCGTGTGCAATTTGTGACCCCAGCAGTTCCTGCGTAGCCTCGGTACTTGGCCTGGGCTCCTGGGCTGGAATCCTGGGTTGAGCTCGCTGGTTGGGCGTTTGGGCTGTACTGCAAGGGCAGGGATTTCTCATGCAGCTGGAAACGGGAATTAACAACTTGGGCGTTGAATCTCTGGTGCTTCATCCAAACCGATCACGTGAAGGGATTTGGCTGAGGCATAGGAGCTGGGTGGTGGTGAAGCTGAGGGGTGGTGACACGTTAAGGTGGATGGGGAAACGCTTCCATCGGGATGGAGGTGACAGGCGTTGCACCGAGCCTGAAGGCTGGAAGCTGGCCTCCTCAGGCCGGCACTGTAAATCTGCCACCTTGAAGCTGGCTCTGTCAAGCTAGCAGCACTTGCTGGCCCTCCCTCTGAGAACCTTTGGAGGCGTCTCTTGTAGCAGCTGCTCTCCCCTAGGACGTGATCTGTAGGAGTGGCTTCAATGGGTCAGCTGGGGAGGATATAAAGCAGGCCTGTCACCTGTGGTGGTGGATGCATGGTAGGGCTATATCCCAAAAGCCTGTTCCGTGTTGATGTGGCATATCGAGGTCCTGACAGGTTTAGGCTTGGTTAGGAGGTCTAAACTCTAGTTTCCTTGTACAGGTTGTGTTGCTTTGTTTGTCATAATATGTATTTGATATTCCCAAACCTATCCTTAAATCAAAATGTGTAGCAGGGTGAAGATTCAGCCAGTGTTATCACAACAGATGCATGACACCAAGCGTCAAAAGCATTTTCGGAATTTCGAGTTGAAGAATGTGTGCTACCGCATCCTTCCATAACGAGGTTTTGATCATGCCTGATTCCCAGAGGTTTTGAAGTTTTATCTTACCCACTTGAAGTTTTATCTCACCAGCAGCTTTTCACTTCATGATCTAATCACCCGTCTCCGTCTGGCAATCCCTTGCCATCCTATTCCGATCACCATCTCTCCGCGCTTGCCCAGCCGCGATCCGATGGCGCAGGCGGACGACGGACAGCGGGAAAGGGGGGATGCTGAGGAAGCGGAGAAGCCGCGGGCGGGGGTAGACGTGGTGAATCCGAGCCTGGATGGACGAACCTCTGCCGAGCCTGACGATCCCGCTTTTCGCGCTCTGTTTGCGACGCACAAGGAGCATCTGACGTGGACTGACGCGGGCCGTTTGCGCTGCACGCTGACTGGTCACGAATTCCTTCCAACCCACGAATCGCTGAAGCGACACGTGGCAAGCAGAGTCTTCGCCAAGGCGGCCGCGTCGCTCGCGCTGCGGAAGTTCGAGCCACACGTCGTGCAGTCACCTGATAATCCGTGAGATTACGCACTCCCTTCGATAAAAGCGCTCTCCTTCCAATAGTAGCTCACGTATTAAACTGATCAGGTAACGGGTGTGCTCATAATTCGTGATTCATCTAACAGGGAGAATAGGACGCTCAACCCTCACCCATAGCGTGAAAGAAACCTCAAACCCTGTCCCCTCTTCTGTCCATCGCAGTAACAAGCTGCTCTGCACGTTGACGAACAAGCTTATACAGAAATCGGAGGACGCTGTATGGAAGCACATGATGGGCCACAAATTCCAAAAGCAACTCGGTGAGCGCTCTGTCATTTGATCCCTCGTCTTTGTCATTTCCTTGTATCCCCCTTCCTTCCTATGTCGTCAGTTGTTTCCCCCTTCCGGCAGTTATGCAGTTGTGAATTTTGAGCTTCCCTCCGCCCTTGATCCCCCATGTACCCCTTGTCCCCTTGCGCCCCTTGCCTCCTTGCGCCCTTTGCGCCCCTTGTGGTGTGGTGCGCGCAGCCAAGAAGGAGCAGGAGGCAGCAGCGCGGAGGGCGGCCAGAAGGGCGGAGAAGGACGCAGCAAGCCAGCCCGCAACTGGGGGAACGGACGTGGGGGGGGGCGCGGGGGAAGGTCGGGGGGGAGAGGAAGGGGAGGAGGTGAAAGAGGAGGAGGAGGTGGAAGAGGGAGAGGAGGTAGAGGAGGGGGAGGTGTTGGAGGAAGGGGAGGAATGGGAGGAGGTAGGGGAGGGGGAGGGAGGTGAGGAAGTGCAAGATGGGGCGGAGGAAGTGGAGGAGGAAGAGAGAGTAGGGGAGGAGAAGAGAGTGGGGGAGGAGAAGAGAGTGGGGGAGGAGAAGAGAGTGGGGGAGGAGAAGAGAGTGGGGGAGGAGAAGAGAGTGGGGGAGGAGAAGAGAGTGGGGGAGGAGAAGAGAGTGGGGGAAGCGAGTGGGGAATGGGAGGTTTCTGAAGAAAAAGCTGAGTGCAGTGAAGGGGAGACAGAAGATGACAGTGAGGAGGAGGGAGAGGAGGAAGGGGATGAGGAGGATGAGGAAGTGGAGGGGGAAAAGGGAGAGGAGGGGGGTGAGGGTGAAGGGGACGAGGTGGAGGAAGAAGAGGAGGAGGATGGGGCAGATTTTTGGATGCCTCCTGTAGGTGACAGGTGGGACGGGGATGATGGGGGTGATCGGTGGGGCAGCAGGGAGGAGCGGCGGGAGGCGAAACGGAAACGAAGAGCTGAAGAGGAGGAAGCGGAGGAAGATGAGGAAGAGGACACAGAGGACGAGGAGGAAGAGGAAGAGCAAGAGGGGGAGGGGGAGGGGGAGGGGGACGAGGATGAGGACGCAGGGGGTGAAGAGGAGGAGGAGGAGGATGATGAGGAAGATGAGGAAGTGGCAGATTTTTGGATGCCTCCTGTGGGTGACAGGTGGGATGGGGATGACGGGGGTGATCGGTGGGGCAGCAGGGAGGAGAGGAGGGAGGCAAAGCGGAAACACAGTCAAAGGCAAGCGGAGCATGGGCAGGTGGGGGAGGGGAGCGAGGAGGGTGAAGAGGATGGAGAGGAGGAAGGAGAGGAGGGGGAGGAGCGGGAAGCAGCTTCACAGGCCGCTGCAGCCGCACAAAGCAATAGGCGTAAGCGTAGGAAAGGGGGGAAGGGGCGTTGTTGAGTTGGGGAATCGGGGGCAGGCAAAAAAGGATTGTCAGGTCAGATGCAGCAATGCGATGGCGTACGTAGGGTCTAGCCCGCTTGGTAGTATTGGAGCATGGCATGCAGGGAAGCCATGGGAGCAGCAACCTGACCGCTGTCAGCGCCTGCCATTACCGTATGTTGCACTTGATTCATATTGGTGTTCTGGCGAAGCTTTTGTTGCAATTAATCCCAGCAATTCCTTGTTCAATTTTCGCCGACATACTGGAGCTGAAAAAATACTGAGGAGCAACTAAACATGCGAGGTGCAAAAATCATGCACCCTGGTTTCCTAAAAGTGGGCTCTACACTAACTCTACACCTCATCCTATTTGATCCAGGGCGTTCCCCTCCAAGAACACCCCTCCTACTGCATACTGTTCACATCACATTAGCTACAATATTAATCTCTATTCGCTGAATTCTGTCAGGTGCTCTCAAGCTTCAAAGGGCGCGTGGAGGGGTTCTTCACAGGGGCCCTGCCCTGATATCAAAGCCCCAAACACAGCTCCCCAGTCCAGACCACCACTCACGGGAGCAACACGGCTGGTGCCGCCGTACTCCTTATAAGCCAACTCAACTCATGTCGTGCACCTGGCAAGGTGCCTCCGTACTCATTATAAGCCGACTCAGTCATCTGTCCCCCTTCATTCCACCTTGGTATGCACCAACACCGGCTGCACCACCTGTTGCTGCTCCGGCTGCTTCGCCTCCAATTCAGCTGCGATTCTTTTGCTGCTCACGGCACCACTGCTCACAGCGGGCGGCGTGAGCAGCACATGCACTCTCCGCAGCGCCCAGTTGCCGCCCAGCACCACCACAGGCAGCAGATTGCCAACAAAGTTGAGTCCCCGGTACACTGTGATCGTGTCCTCCGCTGTCAGAACCTGTGGAAAAAAGGTGGGAGAGCACGGGGAGGGGTGGGAGAGGGGAATGGTGAGAACTGTAGTGGATGCAGAGTTGAGCCCTCGGTGCACTGTGATCCTCTGCTGTCAGCACCTGCGGACGGGAAGGGAGTAAAAGGGGAGGGAAGGGAAAATGGAGAAGGGTAAGCATTCCGAGCCTTTTTGTGGAACCCTTACAAGGAACAAAAAGCTCAGACCTTGGTGGTGTTTAATACAAGCGACTCAGAATGAGGCACATGGCAACTCACAACAAGCCCATGGTGACTCAAGCGATTCAAGTGGGTGTCTTACAATGAAGCCCATGGCGATGTAGTTAAGGCCGGCGAACGAGTAGAGGCAGTGCAGCGCCTGCACCACTGTCGCCCAGAGCCATTGTGACTCCGGGATGGTGCGCTGATAGCGGTAGATCACTGTTGTGGGGCACAGTGGGGGCGAGGGGTGAGGATGTGGAAGGAAAGGAGAGGAAGGGAGACGATGGGAGTGAGAGAGAGCGAAACGAGGAACGGGCCGCGAAAGATGGGGCATGGTGGCATGGTGGCATGGTGGCATGGTGGCATGAGCAATGGTGGCATGAGCAATGGTGGCATGAGCAATGATGGCAACATACCTCGCGAGCCCATGATGAGGAACGCGCCACTGAACGCGAACATGAAGTCACCAATGTAGATTCCCTGGTGGTGCCACGGGGGACGCATGGGGAGGGATGCCAGGAGAGGGAATAGAGGAGATGAGAATGAGGCGCGGATGGGCAGAACTTCTGGTGGAAGTGGAAGTGGAAGTGGAAGGTGAGGGAGTAACGTAGAGAGGATCTCAGCAAAATTTTTCATGTGACCACCCCCTTATATGCCACGTGGCACTCACATGCCAGATGGCGCTGACGCCGACAGTGAGCAGCAGCGACAGCACGCCCGGCTTCTGCCCCGCTGGGATCGTGCGCTCGTAGATGTCTGCGCGCGGTTGGGGGGGACGAGGTTGGGGGAGAAGGGGCGGGGAGGGGATGGCGGAGAAGGATGAGTGCGGGTAGGTGGATGAGTGGAGGGGGGCGGATACAATGAGCACCGGGAGAGAGCAAGAGGAATAACGAGGGAGATGCGGGACGGTGGGCACGGTGACGCGGGACGGTGGGCACGGTGACGCGGGAAAGGTGAGCAAGCTCACTTATTCACTGTCTCATGCATGGCGTTACCACTCACATGTCCATGACAGAGCACTCACATGTCCTCAGCCACAGGCCCACGGAGACGTTCCAGTTCTTGGCGTACGCGTTAAAAGCCTTCGCCAGCTCCACCCCCGCGATGTTGATGTTCTTCGCGCGCTCCCACGACGCCACAAGCCGCGGCTCTGCGACATCTGCGACCTTCGCCTGCTCCGTTACCACCCCGTTCTTCTTCGCCAGAGCAATGTCATCCTTGGTCTCCTCGCACGCGGTAAGGAAACCGTTTGTAGCGGGGACAGCAAGATCACCACTCGCGAAAGCCTTTTTCGAGCCAATTACAGGTGCTTCGTTCTCGTCGTTAGCACTGGTTACGACGCCATTCTTTCGCAGAGGGCTCTTCGCAGCAAGCTTCACGGCCTCGTGCCTCTTCGCCGCATTCCCAACCGCGCTATCTCCCAACACGCCGTGAGGAGCCTGATAAGCCACAGCCTTCCTCAAAGCTGACTTTCCTTGTTGCCGGGCCGTCGCGGTAATCACGGTGGAATCTACGGCGGCATTCTCGCTGCTCTTACTTCTAACCGGTTCTTGCGCCGAAGCGCCTGAGCATTTGGCGGGAACCCACCCGCTGAACCCTAATCCCGACGCGATCATGCTCGCCTCAGCAACCGTCCAAACGTAGTAGATCTTGCATCGGACGGCGTACGTTTGATGACGTGGCCCCAGCGGTGGAGGTACGGAATCGCGTAGAAGCGCTTCGGGTCGGTGACCAGAGGTAAGTTGAGCTGCGGTTTCAGGACGAGGTGAATGAATCCGGCCGCCGTCGCCCACGCGAGTGCGACGAGCAACGGGATCGCAAAGGGTGCCTTGCGAGCGTCGTGCGACCACACCTGCGACGGAGAGGGAATAGAGAAGGGGAGGACGGAGATGAGTGGACGTCAGCGAGTAGCGAGGAAGCGATAAGCGAGGATGAGAAGGCAATAGGGTATACAACAGGAAACGAGCACCCTAAGAGGAAGGGCGTGGAGCATCAAGAGGAAGGAAGGAAGAGAGGGCATGGGATAGAGGAAAAAGTGCAGATAGGGCCTGACAAGCACGGAGCATCGTACCCCTCGGTTTTCGGCCCAGTCCAGGTACGGTCTGAGCTCGAAGAACGGGCCCGTGAGATGTAACCCGCCGCAGAAGATGTAACCCATGTACTGTAGCGCGGACGGCAGCTCCTTGAGATGGCGGTGCGTGCCGCGCTGCGGCGTCGGGAGGTCCTTATTCACGAGGTACTCGCCGTCTTGGTAGTCGAACGCCGATGACGTCAGCTTCAACGTCACCATCATGAGTGTCCCGGCAAAGTCGATCCCTTGGTCCTTGCGGGCTTTGCCGCTCGCATAAATAATGTGACTGTAAAGGGGGTGGGGAGGTGGGTGGAGGTGGGGGCGGAGAGCGGGTGTAAGTTTAGACACCTGGAAGGAGGGAGTGGGTTAGAGGAAAGCTGCGCAAGTGGGCATTACAAAGAAAAATGCCCCGAAGTTTGATCATAATACCTTGTCATCAAATCATTGAGTTATTTGAACGGGGCGTGCAACTCACCAGGCGAGGAGGTACGCGAACGTGCCGACGAGCGTGATCATGCCGCACCGCCGGCGGTGCAACGACATGGCGGTGTACGTGAAGGCGACGAGCACGGCGTAGTGCCCCCAGATGGTCGGCCCGAACGCGTACAGCGCGAGGAAGAGGCCCGTGAGCGCCGCGCACACGTGGCGGTACGTGGGCGACGCGACGCCGCGGAGGAGAAAGCAGCAGGGAATGGAGAGAAGTGGTGATACTAGCGAGATGAGCGTCGTCGGGGTGATTCCTATTTGCGCGCCGACGTCCACTGCGCGGTCCATCAGGGCCGCTGCCATGGCGGATGCAGAATTCGTGACGCGCAGGTCGAATGTCGAGTGGATGAAAGTGCTATATCGCGGAAAAATGGGTACTGGCAAGACCAAGAACGTATTATATTGCAAATAGGACCCCGGGAACCGTGAGGAGGGATCTGGTATGTTAGTTAGGAACTATTTCGTGGAATCTGTGTGCCGATGACGGGGCAGATTCCTACGAAAACCCTGACTGCCAGATGTCAATTAGTCGGCTAATGGGTACGCTAAAGCAGCGAGAGGGCTGCCTAACTTCCCCTGCCTGGAGGTGTGATACGAACTGAGAAAGAACACTTAAAATGACCCCACGCACATAAAGCTTGAGCCTATGCTGGGAGCGACGCAACAAGCATCAAGGCGACGCGGAAGCAAAGGGAGGACAAGGGAGGGAAATTAGGCGTAGCGGGAAAAGCGGGAGAAGGTTGGAGAAGTGGCAGCGAGACCAAGTGGATGAGGGTTTGGCGACGAGCAGTGGTTAGGAGTCTGCGAAGGTACGACAGGCAGATCGAGCCAAACAGGGAAGCAAGCGACGACGCAGAGCTTTGCAGGGCAGGCTTGGGCAGCATACGATAATCATGCGATTGGTGTATAGAGCCCTCGTCCAGACATGGTATCCTGCGACTCGCTGCGAATGGCCCCCGACCTCCTTTACGTTTGAAGCTATAGGACAAACCTGAACAAGCGATCCAGTCGCAGGCGGTAAAGCTGGTTCGGGACGGGGCGCCGATAGGTCCCGCCGAAAACCGGCGCGCCAGCCCGCGGTGCGGACTTCCAGCTTCTTTCGAGTGCGAGTGAGCTCGGGCCTACGGTTGTATCCGCAAATCCAGGTTGCCAGGGTCTGACGAAAAACCGCTTCTAGGTTAGGGGGGCGATGCCTGCCAGACCTTCAGGGCCAGACCTGCCGAACCTGATTCGGGGTGCCTTGAACCCCAGCGTTTCTGTTTCGCCACAAGTAGTCATCGTTTACACTACTGTATCAGTATTCACCATGACATATTACATCAAAACATTCACCCGCTGTAATGTAGAACAGATGTGTGTGTTGACATGGTGTGTGAAGTGCCCAGCTGGCGTGAAAAAGCACCACCTTAGTGCTGGCACACTCCAGCGAGGTTTTCCATGTGGGAGGGAGTCACCTCGCACCATCCTGACGTGTACCGATCTCACCAACACACCCAACTCCATCCAGCAGGGGAACTTGGGCCCAGCACAACCCCAGCAACAGCCTAGCCCCCTGGCTGACCTACCATGTTTCTTCCACCTCGTCAGCGCCACGCATGCAGCTCACCGAATCGCGTCGAACATTCCAGCCCACCTAGCACATGCTTCGGCTGCTTCCTTGCGAAGTGTTCTTGCTCGAGCAAAAACGAAACCCAACCACTCCTGCTGGAGGAGGAAAAATGCTCTCGCAAGATTCATATCCGCATCTCATTTTCTTGCTTTCCATCCCACGATTCCCTATCGCAGTCGAAATTCAGCAGACGTTCCGGCCGGTGAACGACTCAAGACGCGGCCATCCAACGAAGTTGCTACTTGAAGTGAAGACTAATTACAATCAAGCCTAGAAGACTATTACTTGAGGTGGCGGGGTATACTTTAGAAGACTAGCCGATTGTTTCAGCAGTCCACAGTAGAGCGGTCTTAGCATTCAGCAAACATGGAGTACCCACCTCGCAAGATAGCGATAGCCATCGATTTGAGCGACGAAAGTGCCCACGCCGTACGATGGGCTGTGCAGAATTATCTGCGCCCAGTGGACCATGTAAGAACCCGCTATGCGTCTCGATATTTCAGAATCTGGAGATTATTTTCCCTCACGACTTCATTGCTGCTAAAGAGCAGATAGCGTAGCTTTCGTCATATTTTTTCAGAGTTTAAAAATTCGTCTTTCCACCCTCTTCCGTATCTGAACCATTTTTTACCCGAGTGCCCTTCTCGCGTCGTTCGCGATTTCAATTCCTCTCTTTCGGCGATAACCCTCTGCGTCTCGCAGGTGATCATCCTGCACGTGCGTCCTACGAGCCTTCTGTACGGCGCGGACTGGGGCGCGTGGGAGGCGACGGACGCAGCCAAAGCGGCGGACCGCGAGATTAAGGAGCGCGCGGAGGAGGAGTTCGACGCGCTCACGCTGGCCAAGGCGCGCGAGCTGGCGGAGCCGCTGAAGGCGGCGGGAATCCCGTTCCGCGTGCACATTGTGAAGGACCACGACATGAAGGAACGCATCTGTCTCGAGGTGCGCTTCACTCCTTGCTAGCTGTAATGAGTCGAAATTTGAACTTCTTGGGATGTGATTCGCGCCAAAATTGCTTGGAGCAATACCGTGCGGTGAGCAGTGAGGGGTGTACGTAGGACCAGAGAGGTTGGTTCGGGATTTGGAATGTGCAAGCCGGATAGGTTCCCAGGCTCGTGGCATAAGGCAGTGCTTTCGGCTTCCAATGTGATGGAGCGAAAATGCAACGCACGAGGCAATTGATCGATGGCAAAAAAGTCAGAGAAGCTATGGAAACCAAAGACTTCACATGTGTGGACAAAGGGTTCCGACTCTCCCCTGCTGCTTGTGTCGAGGTCATCTGGCTTCTTGAACTCAAGCTCTCCCGTCTTTCCCGCGTCCACGTTTCAGGCCTCCATCTGATGCATTGCCTAACTTTTTTTTGCCCTGCATCTTCTCCTTCTGGTGCATGCATCCGCCAGGTAAAACATGAAGGAAAGTATGCCTGACCTGTTGGCGGCAGTGACCTTGCAGAAACGCCTTCTGATTTGTTCCTTGCCTCCTTCCTCTCTGTGCGTCCGCCAGGTGGAGCGTTTGGGGGTGAGCGCATGCATCATGGGCAGCCGAGGGTTTGGAGCGCATGGCCGAGCGAGGAAGTCACGATTGGGCAGCGTCAGCGACTACTGTGTGCACCATTGTGAGCCTTTTGTCATCTGTTCGGTGTTGAGCACATGACCACGTGTCGCATGTGAATTTGTGTCATTCTTTTCCTTGTGTTGACGAAATGGTGGTGTATCATTCTACATTGTCTTTGGTGTTGTACCTTCTGTTATTACCTTTCGATGCTACTGCATTTTCTGAAAGGCATTGGCTGTGCGGTGAACGGTTGTGACTACGTGGCAGGTGACTGTCCGGTGGTGGTCGTGAGGATGCATGAGGAGAAACCGTTTATCCACCCACCCTTGACTGCGCTGGCTTCTTGATTAACGTGGAGAGGGAGTTATGATATTGTACATACGCCAGACTTCTCAAGGGAGGCCTGTACATATGCTAGACCAGTAGTTAGTAATGAGGTAATCGTCATGAGTTTCCAGGAGTTCTGATGTACGTCATGGGCGGCTGGTATAAGATGGAGTTGGGTTTTGTTATGTACGGTAGTAATTAGTGTGCATCAGTTGGGGCTAATGCACCCTTTTGGTGCTGCCACAGGGGGAGAGGGTGGGGGGAGGGGGTGTTTATATGGGGCCACGTGGACAATAAATTCCAACAGATGTAATATTGAAACTCCAGTTTTTTTTGATGCCTTAACATCAATTTTAATTGGATTACAGCCCTGATTTACAGTCGGATGTTGTGCTGGTTCAGTTACAGTTGGATGTTTAGCAGCCACAATGTCGAGCTTAACATCATCAGTTCCAAAATCTGAGTATATTTTCGGGATCTACTATTCAAGAGCTCGCTTTCGACTACGTTTTTGTGTTTACAACGAGAACATTGGACCGTCGTTGCTGCTCTTGTTAAAACCCGATTTTCAGGTTAAGAAAACTGCTTTGAAGCTAAGACATTGATAAAGCTGTTTCGAAGGAAGACAATGGTTTGGTTCACGTCAGAGAGGTACCCAAGATGGCATTTGAAACGCAAAACAGGTTCAAGACAAAATGTGAAAAGGAAGTACAAGAAAGCTGGTCAACGCAATGTCTTCCGTTTATCAACCTTTGCTGCCATTCAGCGACAACTGCGAAATATTGACGCTAGGAGCCAAGTTCGGACAACGCTACGATCTCTGGCAGACATGACAATGACTGGATCAGAGTTGGATTTCAAGGAAGCTACCTTCAACATGGCTATCCATTTTCATGAAAACGGTGACTAGTTTCACACATAGATTTTTGGAGGCGGAGACTATAAAGTGGATCTGGTCGGGTGGAATGCAGATGAGGTTGATGTTGCAGGCACGATACAAGCTGGATGGACTAACATGGCAGATACTTCAGCTGAATACCCTCAAGAAGTTTTCATAACTGTTGATGATATTAATCTATGGCCTGACGCCATAGCTTTTCATGATCGTGCTATGGTGCTAGCAAGGAAGGTCAGAGCAGTACCGGCTGCAGTCTTCCCTCAGCCGTTTGGTGCAGCTCCCGTGAGGGAATTCAAGCGACGGTTGTGGGTACACCAGAAAGGCATGTGTGGCTGTGTCAAGATGCCTAAGTTAGGCTAGGAACTTAGGACGTGGAGGTTTAGGCATAGCAAGAGTAACGAGAGGAAAGACTGGCCAAAAGAGAGGTTTCAATATGGAGTTGGGAGTACAAATAGGAATGACAAGAAAGGGAAAAGGTAAAGGGTACACCACCAGCAGTTGGTTCTAATAACTAACCTAATACACTAGCAAGCTGTAGGCAGGTATAAGATTGTCAGAATATTATGCTCTAGCCTGTAGTGGGGTGCTCTGTAGCGAGTACAACCCTTCTAGGGTTTGCTATTTGTATCCCCATTCTTGCTAGTGCAACCCCTCTCTTTCGCCTAAACTCTCTTGCCTAGCTAGGACTCTCCTAGCTATGGCTCCTAAGACTACCGCTTATCTCAACATGGTATCAGAGCTTAACGTTCCTGGCCTGTGGGCCCACTTCACTGCTTCCGCTGCTACTGCTACTCCCTGTCCGCCGCGCGCCCCGTGGTGCGCGGCGTCGAAACTAGGGTTTTCAGCCCGCCGTGCGCCCCGAGGCGCGCGGCGGTTTTCTGCCCGCCGTGCGCCCCGAGGCGCGCGGCGGTTCTC